CGCTCAGCAACGATGCTGCCTTGGCTCCGGTGAGAATATGTCAACCAAGAAGTAGAAGGAGAAACCTAGAGCAAGGGACAAAGACAATGTTGAAGCCAAAAGAGTCGTCATAGTGGGCAAAAGAGTCAATTTTGGCGAGAAGGGCAGCGGCGACTTGGTTGACGAAGAGGCTAGTGCGGCGCCCAGATTCCAAAGGTAAATCTCTGCAGAAGGTCGATGGGTTTATTGAGATTCTGTATATTTTCGAAAAGAACATTGATGAGGATCATGAGATTAGGGTTTTTGGGAAGGATGAAGGGTTGATTGGGAAGAAAATGAGAGAGGCTATGTTGGCTAAGGGAAAACCGATTGGGTTGGAAAAGGTGAGGTTGTATGTACAGAGTATGGCGAAAGGTGATTTGGAGGACAATAGGGTGGAGCCGAAGAGTAATCAATCGACTCCACCTGCGGCAGCCATGACGACTGTCCCTGCGGCATCAAAGCGAGCAATGGTGATGGAGAAGAATAGTAGAGGATTCATAAACCATTGAAAAGAAAAGATCGAGATTGTTAAACCGAAAAGGGCTCTGATACCATGAAAATGTTTGATTAATCCACCATGTGAAAATTATCTTATTTATAATCAAATAAAATAAGAAAAGAGTAACAAAATGAAAGATTTGGAGAGAACAAACCAATTGCCTCACAATAGAATAAATATATGTTGGAAGAATATGATGAACAATCAATAAAGCAATAAAAATTCCAATTTAGAGAGAGCAAGACTTTATAAAAATTTAGATGGAAGAAACTATGAAAGTTGTGTGTTCTAAAAATAAGAGAGAGAAGATATGGGTTTAAATAGGAATCATATGTCAAAAATAGGAATTAATACAGCCAACTAGACCACTAAAACATTTCAAATAATTTATTTCTATCGGGAAGTAATTGAAAACTCCCCCATTTGTTACTCTTCCAAACTTAAAAGTGTCATATTTTGATTGGTCTTTGATGTCAATTTTGCTGCTACATCATCACGTTGGTATCCTAGTACACTTGGGTGGACAAGATGAAGAGCCTAAAAATAGGCTTGTCACTGACTATTTGTACTCCCTCCATATTTTTCAGGTTCTTCATGACTCTATTTGGATACGATATAAATATTTGTGTATTATGTTTTTAATTCCTTTTGTCTTTATTCGGGTTTTTTTACATCATCAAATCAACCCTAGTCGCAATCTGTGTTTCGAACCAGCTTTGAAAATCAGGTTGTGATACATTAGCCTCAAACCGGTAATAAACTTGCTTTCCTTCTTTACCCTTGTATCCACTAACTCGAGTAAAAAAAGAGTTAGGTGAACTCCTTCTCATATTCATAAACAGAGTTATCCATGTTGGAGGTGCAAACAAATAAATTACAAGTAAATGAGAAGACTATTAAATAGATTAAGATATTTGCCTATAATACAAGTCAAATATGATAACTATGTTGAACGGTAATAAAGATATTTGTCTTCCATAAAAGGTCAAATATGGTATTGATAGTAAACCGTAATGGAAAGCAAATATCTAGATATTTGCTTCAATAAAAGGTCAAATATGTTATCGTAAACGTTAATGGAAGGCTAAATATCCTTAACACCACTTGCAAGTTGAGCGTCGAGTTTGAACGAACGTGAAACTTGGAAAAAAATTTGAAGAGATGTCAATACATAGTAGAATCGAGAAAGGAGAACCATCAGCAGTCAGGTGTTGAAACAACCATGGGTTGTGGGCTATAGGATGCAAGATAGAGGCTTCAAAATTAGGTCGATGACTCTATTATCATAAAAGGGCAAGAGACAGATAGAGAGAGGGTTTAATGGTGGCGGTGAAGAAGGAAGGATGTACATGGTAGCGGTGAGAGCAATAGAAGAAAAGGATAGATAGAAATTGAAAATGTGGACTATAGGATGTATTTTAGACGAAGAAAGAAAGAGAGGGGTGAAGAGGGAGTGGGGTCTGCGCCTTGTGGACTAATTTGCTATCGAGCAAATGAGCACGAGTAAGAATATCTCGAGCATATTTTAACTGACTAATAAAGAGATCATCATGAGTGGGTGAAGAGCCATAATAATAGATCCAAAGATAGTGATTCTATTCACAACACCACCATTGACAGGAGTGAAGGTCGGCAACAGGGTAGTAGGCAGAGCTGGTGGAGAAGTAGCCAACGCCATAAAAGGTGGTGAACTTCCAATGGACGGAGAGGGCACCACGCCCACCGGAGCATGGGATGAAGGCAGTGTTGAAGCATAAGATTCGTCACAGTGGGCAAAGGAGTCGATTTTGACGAAGAGGTCGGCGTCGACTTAGTTGGCAAAGAGGCCTGTACGGTGCTCGAATTCTAAAGGTAAATCTTGTAGAAGGTTGACAGGCTTGTAGAGATTCCGTATATTTCCGATGAGAATGCTGATAAGGATCTTGAGGTTAGGGTTTATGTGAAGGATGAAGGGCCGATTGGGAAGAAAATAATAGAAGCTATGTTGGCTAAGGGGAAACCAATTATGTTGGAGAAGATGATGTTGTATATATAGAGTACGACAAAGGGTGGACCTGCAAAAGATGATTTGGATGCCAAAAATGTGGAGTCAAAGAGTAATCAATCGGCTCTGCCTGCGGCAGCCATGACGACTGCCCCTACGGCGGCGTCAAGGCTAGCAGTGGTGGTGGAGAAGAAGATGAGAAAAGGATTCAAAAGCTATGTAGAAGAAAGGTCTGGGGTTGATAAACCAAAGGAGTTTTGATACCATGAACATATTTGCTAAAACCACGACACCTAAATGATGGTGAAATTCTGTATTTATAATCATCAAACAAATTACAAAGTAAATGGATACAAGATATTGCCTATAATAAAAGGTGAAATATGATACATATGGTGAACCATAATGGAAGTCAAATATCTAGATATTTACCTTTAATAAAAAATCAAATATGGTATCTATGTTTGACCGTAATAAAAGGCTAAATATGTTAAGTCTCGTAGGTACCTCCTTTCTTGCGTTCCACCTTCGTAATCCTGAGATAACTGTCCATAAACACGAGCATCCCTAAGATGTTCTTGATCCTAGAATGGAGCTTTTAACCTTCCTTGTTGGTCACTTTATCTCCCTCTTCCTGTTGGAACCATTAAGGTCACAAGGAGGGTCACTGTCGCCATTGGTAGCAGAAACGAACGAAGAAATGCTCGCCGGAGGAAACCTTGCTGGAAAAATATGAAACCGCAAGAAGGAGAGAGACGTCTAACATGCATGTATGTATGTCATGTGCATCAAGATACTTCCCATTATGTTATGTTCGTATGTACGCATACTTTCGATATTTATGTTCGTCATGATATCATGCGAGTCTTTCCTTTTACATGGCCTCCGGTGATGTGTAATGCATTTGTTCGACCAAGGCAGCCCTAAGGGGTACATATACGAGCCCGTCTGGTGGGTCCATGTGCACGTACGTAAGTCATGTGTGAAAAAGTACCACACATCTAACCTTGCACGGAACTAGAAAGAGTCCAAGGCCATGTGACAATTTTAAAAGATAGTTCCTTACTATGTTATGTGTGTGCTTGCATTGCTAACCCTAACAACAGGTGATTTACTAATTATTTCTTAAAATATTCATGAAAAGCTAGGGAAGTTAAAATAGGTTCGGAATATAATTATCATGCACTGATAGAAAATTACTACATGAAAGTAAAAAAAAAAAATGTAGGTGAATCAAGGATTGAAACTGTGAATGTTTGATTAATCCATCACACCTAAATAGTGTGAAAGTTATCTTATTTATAATAAATGAATTACAAGGATATGGAAATAGTAATAAATGGAAAGATACCTATGATAATAAGACAAATATTAGATATTTGACTTATAATAAAATATCAAATATAATATATATGGTAAACTATAATTTATTACTAAATATCCTTAACAGAAACCCATGTGGTTGGAAGATGAAATGACAGACGCAAGGGAAATGAACAAAAACTGAGTAGGGCTGGACCACACAAATAAGCCAAGCCAGGAACCAACGGTAAAGCTACTTCTTCAGCGTCAATGGATCCCAAAACCTAATCCTGCTGTTAAATTAAGTATGTTTTAACAGTTAAGGATGGTTGGGAATGAGTCCTACGTTAGTTAATTTAGAAAATCATTATGGGTTAATGGGTTAATGAGTCCAAGTTAGTTGAACGTGGGCGTGACTGATGTACAAGTTTACATCGCTGCTTGAACGTGAAGTGAACAGGGAGAGGAAGATGATGAGGATAGTGGAGAAGCTTGGTCGCTCACGTGCGATAAAAGGACCAACTTGCGCCTATTATTATTATTATTATTCTCATTCTCATACATATTATTTTAACTTTTTTATATTTTCAAATTATTTATTTTGATGGATCAATATTACTATAATGCAAATTTAGGCAATTTTTGGGACGAGGCCCAACTCATTTTCTTTTAGAGTCCTATTCATTATTTACCATGCATTCGAAAATTCCTTTTTTTTTTTTAAATCCTAAACATGACTTTCTACAATGATATGATATTGTCCAATTTCAACATAAGTTCTAGCAACTTCGCTTTGGGCTTCCTGTGCGATTACTCGTACCAAAAATAAAACATAAAACTAAAGAAAAAGAAAAGAAAAGTCTTTAACAAAAAAACACAAAAAAATTAGGAAGAAAAGAAGGGGGAAAAGTGGGATCCAAAATCCCAATTATTCCACCCTTCCCCTCCATCACACCCACTTCAACAACAAAATCCCCTTTCTCCAATAAAATCAAAATGAAAACCCCAATTCCAATCCCTCTACTTTCATCCAACGTTCCATGCTCCTAGCTTCAACATACGAGCAACAATGCCCTCCCACTCTCCCAATTCCCGGAATCAATAACCCATTCCAGCACCAACCCTAGCTACAAGCTCCTTCATCCTCGATCATCAGAACCCATTTTGGTTCCCATTTCTCATCTGGGTTTTTTGATGGAGAGGCCGATCAAAGCATCGCAATCGTCGTCCACAAGGGTTACCTATTCGGTTTTGCCGCATCAGACCCCCAGGCTTAGAGATCATTACCTTCTCGGCAAGAAACTCGGGCAGGGCCAATTTGGAACCACTTATCTCTGCACTCATCGACCCACAGGGGCCCTTTATGCCTGCAAATCAATCCCCAAACGCAAGCTCCTCTGCAAAGAGGATTATGAGGATGTTTGGAGAGAGATTCAGATCATGCACCATTTGTCTGAACACCCTAATGTTGTTCAGATCAAGGGCACTTATGAGGATTCTGTGTTCGTCCACTTGGTGATGGAGCTTTGTGCCGGTGGGGAGCTTTTTGACAGGATTTTGCAAAAGGGTCACTACAGCGAGAGAGAAGCCGCTAAGCTTATTAAGACAATCGTTGGAGTGGTCGAGAGTTGCCACTCTCTTGGGGTTATGCATAGGGATCTCAAGCCTGAGAACTTTCTGTTTGACAACCCTGGTGAAGATGCTAAGCTTAAGGCCACGGATTTCGGGCTCTCCGTTTTTTACCAGCCAGGTCAGTTTCTTCATTTTTTAAACTCCTTCATTTTATTCATGTTCCCCTTGTCATCATGTTTGTGTTCTTTTCTCTTTTGGTCTCATGTTTTATTTGTTATATTTGTGAGCTCAACTGTGTTTGATTGATTCTCTTTGCCGCTTTTTACTTCATTTGTGTCATTAAAGAAAAGGAGTCAAGAATATGTGCCACATGCCCATTATTTATATATACTTTCAGCTGTTACTCTCTGCAGAATATACTGATTATGTCCAGCCCTTTAGGTACCTTTATGGAAGCGTAGGCTTGTAGCCAAGATGAGATAAATATCAACTAAAGCAGCCTTCAAGTTTTAGCCTCTTTTTTTAGCTTCCTTGTGAGTTGTGAGTGGCATGTTTTTTTGAAACTTCGGTGTTAAATATGTAGATATTGCCTGCCCAGGATATCAATCCTGAACCTTCCATTAAGGTTCATGTTTCTAAAACCATCTCTTTTTGGCTATTTGCAAATGATGATGTGAAATTGTAGGTGCAAGGTCATCTTCAAAACTACTGTTTTGCCGACTGAGATTCCTTATTTGAACTCATGCATAAACACTAAACTCCTTTTATTTGTATATTGATCTGAAATTAATTTAACCCTGGAAATTCTTCAAATTGACCATCTCCAGTTTGTTTTTCAATAACATTCTTTAAATGGTCTACCTTAGTGGTCAATAAGGGCCATGTAAATAATAAAAGACTTAGAGGTCATGGGTTCAAGCAATCGGTGGCCACCTACCTAGGAATTAATATCCTACGAGTTACCTTGACAACTAAATGGAGTAGCATTATGCAATTGTCCTGTGAGATTAATCGATGTGCTCGCAAACTGGTCCGGATACTAATGAATATACAAAAAAGAAAAAAAGACATAGGCTTTTGTGCAAGTTGATATTTTAAGTTTGGATTGTTCTGTTCAAGCTATATGCTTCTCCTTCTTTCTTCAGTTGAAGGTATGTTTTCTTATAAGAATATGTATTCATTTGTCTGTTTATGTATTTTTCTTTGTAGGACAATCTTTCTGTGATGTAGTTGGAAGCCCCTATTATGTTGCTCCAGAAGTGCTCCGTAAGGAGTATGGGCATGAGGTTGATGTGTGGAGTGCTGGTGTTATCCTTTACATCTTATTGAGTGGTGTTCCACCTTTCTGGGCAGGTATATAACTACAAATCTGGACCCAAAATTGTTTTTTATGGGTTTTTTTCCCCTTATATTATCTCTAAGGCTTTTTCCCCTCGATTTTGTATCTCGAACAGAAACTGATTCTGGGATCTTCAGACAGATTTTATATGGAAGGCTAGATTTCAACTCTGATCCATGGCCCAGCATTTCAGATGGTGCTAAAGATTTAATCAGGAAGATGCTCACAAGAGACCCAAAGGAGAGAATCTCAGCCCATGAAGTTCTTTGTGAGTGATTTTAGACACTTTACCGGAGAATTGTTCTTTCCGCTCCGTAACAACGTTAAGCTTTATATAATTGCTTCTAACTTACAAGACTGGTGTTCTTTTTGGAGTCAAGGTCACCCATGGATTGTTGACGACACTGTTGCACCCGACAAGCCTATAGATTCTGCAGTTTTGTCTCGGCTAAAACAGTTCTCAGCAATGAATAAGCTGAAGAAGATGGCTCTACGTGTAAGATTTATCCCTTGTAGGGGTTTTCCTATATAATCTGATAAACTAAAATATTCTTTACGAGTTCATCCTATACCAGGAATATTTTAGTTTATCACTGAAAATGATCTCTCTGCTTGCATTCTCTTATTATTATTATTTGTTTCGATGTGCATATGTTCAAGAATTCGGATCACTTTTCTCAGCGATAAGACCACGAGTAATGTGCTTGGGAACTAAAGGGCCAAATAGGGGAGAGCAAGATTTATCTCATGACATTTTTCTCATGGCAATATGTATTTCTCTCAAATTTTCGACATCGTGGTTGGCAGGTCATAGCAGAAAGACTGTCTGAGGAAGAAATTGGTGGGTTGAAGGAATTGTTTAAAATGATCGACACTGATAACAGTGGCTCAATAACATTTGAAGAGCTTAAAGAGGGGTTGAAAAAAGTGGGCTCTGAACTCATGGAATCTGATATCAAGTCTCTTATGGATGCGGTATATAACTCGTAAATATAAAACATCATGTTTAAGGAAATCTGGTTTTGATTTTATGTATTTTGGTCAATTTTCAATTGTAGTGTAGATGACCTGCGTTTATCTTGCTGCCTAATCTATGAACAGGCTGATATAGACAACAGTGGAACCATAGACTATGGTGAATTCCTTGCAGCTACATTGCACCTCAACAAGATAGAGAGAGAGGATAATTTAGTGGCTGCTTTCTCCTATTTTGACAAAGATGGTAGTGGTTATATCACCATTGATGAACTTCAACATTCCTGCAAAGAGTTCGGTTTGGGCGATGTCCATTTGGATGAGATTATCAAAGAAATTGATCAAGATAATGTAAGTCCTTTTGTTTTGATGAACATGTTCTTGTGTAAACCTGAATGTGGAGTTTGCTGTTGTACTCTACAAACTTGTGGTTTGCAGGATGGACGTATAGATTACGAGGAATTTGCAGCGATGATGAAGAAGGGCGATGGAGGAGGTGTTGGTAGAAGTCGAACGATGAGAAACAACTTGAACTTCAATTTGGCCGATGCATTTGGAATAAAAGACAAATCTTGAAGTTGGAAGTTGGAAGTTGGAAGTTGAAGAGGAACGAAGTTGAAGCTGCGTAGGTTTGTAAGTTGTATAGTTTGGGTAGGTGTTTAAGTGCAGAAATATGTTTTATTATCACGCCATAGCTTCAATGAGTAGGAGGAGCCTTTGGATTTGATTTTTGGTTTGAAATATATGGGTTTGTGTACTGTTGCAGTTGTTGAATGCGAGGGCTCTGAATTTTCCTGACATTGCATGTCAATTCAACAATGTTTGTAGAAGGAACTTGTTATTATCAAAGAGAAGAAATTAAACAATGGTATCATACTTTACATCATTTCATGCAATGTTTAACATTCTTCTTCTCAAATCACATGCCTTAATTTCTAAGTTGCTCCATAATCTTTGCTCTTTCATACTTCAAGGATCTATGCAAAGTGTCACGGTTGTATAATCTTGACATGCTCACGATAACTTTAAGGAGAATCATGTTGAACCTTAGGTAAGGTTTGATTTCACCAACATCGCTTGTACAGAATTCACGTTTGTTCGACCACCCACGTCGCTTGTACGTGCATGTTCAATCCAATTTGTCTCTACATCAGGCCAAGTCATTCAGCTTGACCTTGTTTCTACTCAAAGCCAAGGTCTCACAATGTGACTCGCTTCTCATTTGTCATCTTGGTTCCCAATTGACATGGCTGATACGTCTTGACATCATCTCAAGTTTCAGGATGACGTCGGCTATCACAACTCACTTGGTCATGCCATCGAGAACGAGCCCACGTGTTGCTGATCTCATCGGGACATCTTGAATATCCATCCATTCGGGTTTTATTGAGGCATTGGCCCTCCCATGCCCATTTCATGTCATTTTCGGATATTGTACTGGATAGTGGGTGCATAATTCAACCTCTGACGCACGGGCTGAGGTGCAATAGCGACACACTTGTGCCGCTTAGTACTGTCCTTGAAAAACCCATTTCAAAGAAAGTCGCTCGAGACACTCGCCCTCGTTGTGACACACTCATGTGCCATAGGGTAGCTCTCTTAGGCCGCACGGCCCAAGGGTGGTGGAGAGCTGACACCATACCTCTCCCTATAGTACATTTTGAGGCAATTTCAAAGTGGTGGGTGTAGACATGATTTTGGTGAACGAACATACGTGTCTAATTATCACAAAATTTGCAAGCTTTTATATTTCATATGGACGAACTTGACTCTAGAACCGTATGCCCAAATTCCTTATTGAACCTCTACTCTCGAGGTTAAGGCCCAAGGCCCTACTTGGTCCCTTCAACCAACCTATCTTTGGCACTGTTGTCTACTTGTTGCCATTATCTTGCTTATGCCTCGACTTCTCTTCAACGCTTACTCTGTATGGTGTGTTAGATGATGCACCGTCCTCCTCGGTCGCATCATGGGAGTCATTTGAGGGTCGCCACTTCTTTTGTTGCAACGTGAGGATCACAACCTACTTTTTTCATACTTAGTTTGTAATACAAGACATGTACACCTGTTCCCACTCCATTTTCCTCTTAGTGGGCATGTTTTAAGAATTTGGTCTTTTGGAGATTGAGTTTCCCTTGTTTTAAGAATGAGACCTACCATAATTGTATGAGTCCATTATAAGTTTTTAGAATGCTCAAAAAAGAGTTATATATCTAGACAATAAATCTAGATGATCACAAATGTATGGTTCATATTGTCTAGCTTCTATTATAAATACCTCCCCACTCCATCGAGCTTTTTATCAAAGAAAAAGCAAAGCATAAGATCAGTATAAAAATACTCCGTAAGTAACCTACTTGTAGGCTCAAATCCCATCCATCTTAATAAATTACCATAGGCCTTTCTCTAGCCTCTATAAAGTTCAAGCCTAATTATTAAGCTATTTGAGCCTTTGGAAGGCCTCGAGATTTTAAGCGGTTCTCATGACCATCACAAACCCACTCTAGGTCTGAATGTGGTTCACCCATTTTTAGTATCAGAAACTATTGGACAACATATCTTTGCTCGAGGTAAATTAACTTAACTATTCTGAGATACTACCTCATAAAATTTGGGTTAGGTACTACCTCATAGCCACAACAGTGAATGACCACTTTTAAGTCGAATTGGGGTGGAGCATTGGGTCGGGGTCAAGCAGTCATTTCGGGTTGGGTTTGTAGGTTCGAGTCACCATTTGTCAACACGGTGCGTAGCGCACCTCTCAACTTGGCATGTTTTCATCTTTGATGGGTGACGCGGGTCCTTAGATGCTCGACACGTGTCCCCTCTCCTTTAGAGGCATATTTTTTTTTTTTTTTTGCATTCTATCATCAATGTTTATTATTTTCTATTTTCGGTAGAATTTCGTAACTTTTTCTCCTTAACCCGATTTAATTTGATTCCTTCGTAAAAGTTGTAGAGTTTTCTACTGGCTATCAAAATAATTTTCATTATGTTTCATAAAGTATGGAGAGAAATAATTTTCATTCTTGTGGCTGATTTGAACTCCATCTTTTGTCACATTTTGGCAAAGGTTCCTTCCTAAAAATTGTGATATCCACCCTAGAATAACCAGAATAACGTACTTCCCTTTTAGAACCTCATTCTTCTTAAATCTCTCAAATCTAAACAAATATTGAGAACCAAAGCTCGAAGCTCTTACCGAACTTCATATGCTCTACGTTCTGAGTAGGTTTCATAAAGGGATCATGCCTGAAAAGTGACTCGTTGTAGCTGGATCGGAGTACCTTTGACGGTAACCTTTCCTCTCCAACTTCCTCTCTCTCTCTTCCCTAGTTATTTCCTTTTTCTCCACCAACCCTTCATAAACTCTTCCCTATGAACTTGAGTTTCACCATTTTTTTTTTTTAATTTTTCACTTTTTGTTTTATTTTTTAATTTAACATTTATCCCTTTATGTCTTTATCTTGAAATTCCTCACCCTATTGTTACAGCTGCCTTAAGAAAGGACAAGAAACTACGTAGATAGATCGAGTAGTTGGCAAGTACGTGGGGTTGCTCCTCTAGATGTTGACTGTATGGTAATTGTCGTGGATAGTCACTAGTTAACTTTATACAAACGTGTTTAGACAAAGATATCATACTATCCTATGAGATTTGATGAAGTTGCGCCTCAACCCTTGTTACCGGTCATTTGCTAGGGTGGCTCTAGAAACTTACCCAAGTATGAGAACCAAAAAAGTTATTTCACCCAAAGATGTACACTAGAACCGGTGAATAAGTTCCAGGCTTGTCAGGGTCAGTGATAAGTAAGAAAATTACTCGAAACTTTAAAGTCTTCTAAGAACGCTCAAATAACTATAGAATTGGGTCCATACTTTCTAGTACCTAGAAAAAAAGTTTATAATAACTAGAAAAATTGAATGCGATAAGAGCCTACAAGTAACTCTCACCATTTGCACACCAAATTAGCTCCAAGTTAAGAGGGACAAAAAATAGGGGTAAAATAGTCTTTTGAAACTGGAAATGGATAGGAGGATAGGCCTGAAGTTCAAAACCAGCAGAGCCATGGCCAAAATTAGCCCCAAGCACCTTGAAGGACTGTTCCCATGGCGTCTCTCACTCTTTCCCTCTGCTCACATTTCGCCTCTCATTGCCGAGTCTCCACCAAGCAGAATTTTCCTTCTTCAACCCCAAATTTCCCCTCAAATTCCCACTATGATTCCTTCAATTTTGCCCTTTCTACTTCTTCTTCTTCCCACAAACTCTCCTCTTCTTCGGTTACTTCTTCCCACTCTGCATTGCCCTTCCTCCTCAAGTCCTCCGAGTCCGAAGCGGCGGTAATCGAGTCTGAACTTGCCGCTTCCCAAACTGTTGAAGTCCCCTCGGAAGAGGCCCCCAAGCGCGAGGAAATCTTTGCGGTAGTTATGGTCAGTGTTTAATTTCACGTAACTAATTTCTTGCATTTTGATTTCAGGTTCTCCTTTCCCATTAAGTCACTTTTGTTCTGTATTTGTGAAAAATGGTGGATTAATCTGTTACTGTTACTCTTCAGATGGGAATTTTGTGCTGCGATTTACGTTTATTATACGGTAGCATTGGTCATTGGTTTGTGTCTGTGTTTTAATAGATTGGATCCCGCCAATATATAGTCTTTCCAGGACGTTATATTCATACCCAGAGGCTGAAAGGAGCTAACGTCAATGATAAGGTGGGCTTCCTCAATACCTTACTCGTTTTATATTGGATTGTCTGAGTATCTTAGTCTGTGAGTATGAATCTTGCATTATGGAGACTTAGAGTATTCTTGCAGCGTTTGAACTTTATGTGATTTGCATTGTTGTTTACTCTCTGCCCTATGGATAATGTAGTAATGTTCTTCTGCCCTTAGGAAAGTAATTTTAGGAACTGATTGAGAGACTTTTGATACTATTTGGGTAAAGTTTCATCTCTTATTCTAATATGCTACCCTTGTTCAAAGTGATGGAGTTTCCATTTTTTAATTTTGACATTATTTTAATCCTTCAGGGTCCTAAGCTTGAGTTGTTAGTGAAAATTTGTCTCTAGCATGTGTAATATATAATATGAAGCTCATATATAGCGTGCTTAAATTAGATAGTTTGAGCAAGAAGCCATCTATGAACATTTGATTTATCCATGAGGGATTTGAGATCTGGATTCCTTTACTGACTGCATAGAGGAACCTTTTTGGCTTTTCATTGTTAGTATTATGATGGTAATTTATGAACTTGAGGCTTTGAAGGACTGCTGCTTATTATTTCGTGAATGGGGTTGCTGCTTCACATAATGGATGCTTTCTGTTGGACATCAAGGGGAAAAAGTGTGAGATGGTAAGTTAGAGCTTGATCTTGGGTCAGGGACAGTTTGATAGGAGCTTCTTCGTAGGCTAAATCTTTTTCCTCTAGAACATATAATCCTTAGCCATTATTCTGTTATAGAATTCATCACATAATTGCGATTCTTTTTTCAGATTTCATTGGATGACCTCTTTATGGCCAATCGACCATGAATCTCGAGACTTATTTATCCTTCTTCTCTTGTTTCAAAGAGTTTTTCTTTTCCCTAACCCTAGCAATTTTGCTCGTTCATTAATGAACTCTCAAGTCTTGCAACCCTTCTTTGTAAGTTTCTTTTTGCTCATTTTGTAGTCTTTTTCAGCTCTCTGGCCCTTAAAAATCTCAAAGAAGCTTAGGTTTTTTCTCCTAGTTGATCATTTTGGGAAGGATAGATAAAGATGTTAGTGTGTCATTTTGAGACCATAGTAGTATGTTCTATTGAATAAGGTAACATAAGATTTTGGATCATGTACTTTACTATAAAAGTTTGGAATAGACTTCTTGAAACGTTTTGTGCTAGTTTGGCTTCATCAACCTTCTAGAAATTTGAACTGCATTGTTATAAGATTTTACTTTTTCCTTCAACAAATTACCGCCAATCATATGCTTAGCAGTCTCTTTGATGTTCTTTGGAAAGCCAGTGGATATTGAGGATTTGGATGAAGACATGTTTACCATTTGGAAGCAAATTCGCCATTGTGGAAGGGATAGTGAAAATAGTTTCATCTCTGTCTTCTTCACTTTTTGCAGTAACACTTCGTAGGTGGTTATGGAGAGTGCTCCATTCTTCCACTTTTAAGAGCTTTTCAATTCAACGGATTAAACGAAGAAATTAGCTTAAAAAATGTAATGAGAGTAACTATGGACCAAAATTTAGTTGAAAGCCACCACATATGCACATACATTCAGGTTTTACTTCTTCCATTCCACATTGAGTTACTAAATGAACTCCATCATTGTTAAAAAACTAATAGATTGATTATATGATAACAAACAAATCTATTTATGTGCATGCTGTGTTCATCTTAAAGGTTTTTTAAATTTCTGATTGTACAGATAACTCTGAACAAGGTTTTGCTTGTGGGAACAAAAACTGAGGCATACATTGGAAAACCCATAGTGACAAACGCTGCTGTTCATGCCGTTGTCGAGGAGCAGGTAATGCATCAGCTCAGTGATCATCCCCCTCATAAGAACAGAACAAGCTTCTTCTTTTCTTAGATTGTCTTCCTGTTTTTGTCTCTCTTCCTAATTGCTCATGTGTTCTGTTATTCAGGGATTAGATAAGAAGGTAATCGTGTTCAAGTACAAGAAAAAGAAAAACTACCGAAGGAACATCGGACATCGTCAGGTATTTCTCAGTCTGTGCCTCTCTCTACGCTTGTATTACACAATTTTGCATTATGTTCTTAGTGTTTGCCTTGTCCACCGCATATCTCTCTCTCTGTCTGTCCGTTGCCATTCAACTGCTTCCATAGCTTCAACTTCTGAACTGATTCACAGATGATAGGAATGTTTTATGTGCATTCGTATAGAGATATTCTTCCTTGTAGTTTCTGAATGTGTTTGACTGTAATGCTGCAGCCGAATACACGAATTAGGATAACGGAAATCAGTGGATATCAAGACTATCCCGCATCCACACTTGAGTCGTAGATACAATTTCTGATGAACTGAATCAGTAGATTTGAAGATCTTAATCCTTATATCTTGTATGTCAGTTCTTGTGAATCAAATGTTTCAATTCAGTTATTTCAATCTGGTAATGATTCTCAAGTGACTCTACTGTCAATTTTTTCAAACAAATTTGTTGCTAATATGGACTCCTAGAAATTTACCAATTTATAGCTTATTAATATTAACGAAAGGGTATGCTTATCTTTCTTTTGAATCAACTATCTTGAATCCCATATGTATATTAATCTATAAGATTGTTACCATTAATCTTAAACTCTTCATTTTGAAACCATCAAATAATGGTAGGAATAATTTGTATCCATCAATTTAAAAGCAGAAGATAAAACAAATAAATAATAATGTGGAAATCTATAAAAAAAAAAAAAAAAAACAAAACAAAATATAGTTAGTTTTTAATTTGTAAGCTGTCTAGAGTCTGAATGCTTTTTCAATGTATAATAATAGAGCAACATAAATAACCTACTTTGAGTATAATCAGTGAGCTCCTAACGTGAATACAAGTGTATCTTCACCTAATATTTCATTTCAAAGTCTCCAAACATCTGCCTATTCATCCACTGAATGTATAATGTGAGCTATAACAGCTTGATTGATGGTGTCATATCTGTAAACAGCTTGATTGATGGTCACATCTGCATCCGACACGCCACGGTATCACCATGGTTAGTATCATCAATCACAGCACTTGAAACCAATAGCAATCTGTACAGAACCAGGAAACAAGAGTGGGTTGGTGTATAAGATGTAGAACTAAGCCATGGAGAACATACAAAAAAAAAAGTGATTTCAAAAGCCAAATCCGATTGAAACCAACGTTCTCAGTGTCGTGTAATGCAAATGGTTTTAAAAAGTGCATACAAAGATCAGTGAAATTTATATCTTGACTGCATCTACTTTGTAGCATCAGAAAGATCCCCACAAGGTCATCCCTTCAGATCATTGTGGTAATATGGGATCTTCAAAGTGACAAGTTTTGTTTTGAAGGTGATAAACAAAATGCCACAAGAATTCAAGCTACAAAGACCTGTTATAGCAGCCATCCATACACATGGCTCGGGCAGAAATGATGAAGCCCAAAAAATAGCCTTCATTCGTATACTCGCTTCCTCTTTAGAAGTGTAGGTAGAATGGAGATAAAGCCAATAAAGAAAAGCACAGACAAAGTTTTGAAATCATATAAATCCTTCACTGATTTCAGATCCCCCAGTGCAAGTCCAGCCTGAGAATAACATAATCAGTCATCAGTTTGCTAATTATTCAAACACATTCATACTTATCTTTCTGGTCTCATATGTTTTAGAAGCTTGCAAAGAAAAAAACACAGCTACGAATGTAAGCTATTTCGAGAAGTTGATAAAGAACCTAGACGATCTAAATATAAAACTAATGTCAGGAAAATTCCAGCCAAATATGGCGCTTCTAGAGGAAAAACTACATCACCGTAAAGAAGAAAAGTTCGAAGATAAATCTATCAATTTTCAAGTACTCGAACAATATTTACATGGAAAGCAATCTATAAATCTATCAATACAGCTGACACAAAAAGATTGAAGATAATGACATCGGAAATTGGTTAGTGATAGAATGAAAGACAAGAGGAGAAACAAATGGCAACATCAACAATGATAGAAATGTACCCTGACTGTGATATAGGATGCCGGAACGAGGCCAATTAAAGTTGCCAAGAAGAAAACATGAAATGGGATGTCCACAATAGGTGAAGCCAAGTTGATAAAAAGGTTTGGTAATGTTGGTGTTATCCTTAGAAAAAGCATATAATTGAGCAGCTTTTCTCGATGCTTCGCTATCTGGATACTCAAAGCCAAGCGTTCAAGGCAACATTAGATGCGAGCCAAGCGTTCAAGGCAACATTAGATGCGATTAGAGAGTACGTACACATATGATGGAATTCGAATAAAAATTAGAGTCACTAAATACCTCTGTCTGGAACATTTTCAACTTTTCCGGCCACATCCAATACACTAAAGGTCTTCCAATCAGCTTAGACAGAAAAAAGCAAGAGCATGCACCAGCTGTTGCATTAAACACAACTAACAGAAGGCCCCTGATAACACCAAATAGAGCTCCAGCAAGCAATGACATGAAAATTGTTCCAGGAATCATGAATGTTTGCATGAATACATAAGTGGAGCAATAACCTAGAATGAATTGTGCTGGATGATCTTTGGCATAATTTGCAAAGAGATCCCTGGTGAGTATAATTAAACAGAGAAACCAATCAGGAGACAACAAATGGAGCATTAACGAACCTAATGCTGAAGAACTAACTCAAAATATATTCTGCAATTTCAAGTGTTTATACACAATCAAAAAGTGTTCCTCGTCCATTCTACATTAGCAAGAAACCATCCTCATCTTTCATAACTCCAATCTTAATCCCAAAATTGTTTCAAAATCAATTTCCTTCAATCACAATATCTCCACCCCGTCCATATTTCCCCTTCAAATTCACGAGATATCAACAATCATATCACAAACCCCACATGGAACAAGGGGAAAGAAGGGAATAAAATGGCATAATACGACCCAAACGTAAAGGGGCAGAACAGAATCAGACTTACTTGAGCACCCGAAGATCCGAAAGGGTCCTAGGGAGCTTAATGCTCTGATATTCTGCAGAAGGCATCGTCAAGTACACACACACAAGGCCAGTGAAGCACACGAGGAATATAGCAAGAGCTGCAGCTAGCTCCCACCTGGTTAATGGAAACCTCTCATATTTAGGCTTCTTCGCCGTCGGAGAGTCATCTTCCTTCAGCTTCTCCTCATCCCTCACCGCCACATTCCTCGAAGCCGCCATTAACCGATCGAACTAAATATCCCCCCCTTCAATTTCACACGAATAGAAGGAGGACTCAAAAGGGTCACCCGAGGAAAAAAAAAGGGGGGTTCCCAACGAAAGAAGCTAAAGAACACTGATGCGACGCTTGTGGTTTATCAAACGTGAAATTGTGGTCAACAAAAACATCAGTGAGACATAGAATGAAGACAGATCTGGGAGTTGGGAATTTGAGGCAATCGCTAGTGAGAAACGGGAGAAAATAGTGTGTCAGAATTGAGAAATTGGGCAATCTGTGAACGTAGAGAACTTGGGGGGAATTTGTGAAAAAAGTGTTTCAGTGGGGAAAGAGGTTCGAAATGGATGTTTCCATGGCCTTACGCCACCGTCTGATCTCGTAGAGCAACGGACGACGACGGTGAACTCCTTCAATGTTTTGACCCTTTTCTCTCTCCTCACTCCGTCTTTCCTCTTCCACCGCTTTATTTATTTATTTATTTTTTTATTTATTTTGGAAATAAAGAACTCAATTTAGGCTTACTAAAATTTTAAATTACTTCATTTTTCTTTTTTCTTTTTTTTTTTTTGAAGATTTTCAAAACAAAATATTTTTATAATTAAAAAAGTTAGTTTTTTTCTTAAATGAAAATGGTTATTATTGTTTTATCAACTTGGATAAAAATTAACCTCAAAAAATAAAAAAAATTAAAAAATTAATAGAAGCTAATTTTAAACTTTATTAAGAGTGATTGCCTTAAACCATTGAATTATTAATCTTATAATTACTTGAATCCGTTCTAGGTAGTCTACATCTTCACAGACATGTCGATTTCACTGAGCCTCTCTTCAAGACAGTACCCAGATCGTTACGCTTTTCGCGCGGGTCGAAACTTACCTGACAAGGAATTTCCACTTAAGCTTTAACTCTTAACTCCAATTACAAGACCCTTTGAGATTTGTCCGACCTATATGGATCGACTTCATAGATCAATTATAACAACCCACTTTTCAAAGTTTCAAATAATAGACCGTTACATGGATTCTAAGGTGAAAAAAACGACAAGATTTTTCAATTTTAAAATAAATGAGAAACTAAAAAAACATCCAAATACATATAAATTTTAAAAGTTACAAAACTATTAAGTGGGAGTTAAAAATTACAAAGCATATACAAAATCATAAGGGTTCCAAAACATAATCAAAACTATAAAACACATAACACGGATCTAAAGTCCCTCCTGCAACGCACAACCCTGCATGCTCACACCCAGATGTAGACTATCATCGAAATTTATCATATTCAATGTTTGTTAAGATTATGTGTTCATTCAAGTTCCTAAAGTTAGCCAATGCCATGATAATGCGTTAATACTAGTCTTACGAAACTTTCATGGTCATATACCCTACACACTCCTGTTCCAATGATGTATATTATCCATCAAAATGTTAGTTTAGGATTTTAGATCCCGTTAACTTTATAGTCCTACTCTCCAAGATCCATCTAGGTCATCACCCTTCTTACGCATAAGTCAAGGTGTCATCATTTATCTCGAACTCTAGGTGGATCTAGCGAGTATGGAAACCTTGTAATTAATTATTTAATTTTTAATAATAACTTTGATTATTTTACTTGTAATATAATATTATCTGTTGTACGAAAAATTTAAGGTTATTAGTGTAATTTTCAACAATATGTGACATACATATTAGAGGATCTTGTTCATGTAATAACATAAATGGTCTATAGTAAATAGATAGTGTTAGGTGTCTTATTTTGGTAACACTGTTGATAACCCAGATTATAATTGTTACAAATGATTTGATCAAATTGCTCATATGGAGATATGTGAGTGGAAGTATCCTATATGATGAGCTTGAATAAAAACTAGACCACAAAATGTTTAATATCTCTTTATAAATTTATTAATTGAGAAGATTAATATTTCAATGGATGATTGTATGCTACTCAATCTTATAGGTGAGTTATAAACTCTGGCTTATAAGAGTCTGTCCTTTGATTTTCATTGGTCAAAATGACTTTTGTTGACGATTCAATATGCCTACGATTATGAGAACTTGACCAAATAGGAAGCTTGAAACATAATTTCACGAAATGGAATTCACTCCTTATCATATCATATAAGTAGATGAGTAGTTCCCTTAAATGCTAATTTCAGGACTTGGAACAGTGGTACCTCGTCCTCTCACTATCTCAAGAAGAACTTGGTTTATGGTTGGGTTATAAACAAATGGTTAATTGAACAATCAACCATACTTAAGGTAGTAAGATGTAATTAAAGGGGTAAACTGGACTTTTGACCTAGCTATAATTACAAACAACTCATGAATACTTGACTAAATAGTAAATATTATATCAATGGATACAACTTACCCTACAGGTATACGCATGCAACTTTAGGTCTATAATAGATTGATCTTACCCTACGGTTATACGCATGCAACTTTAGGTCTATAATAGAGTGATCTGTAGTTAACGAATGAAAATTGATTAATTAAAGAGTTAATTTAATTAATTTTGTATTATTGAAACAATAATTTGTACTCCATAAAATTTCATTTTTAATTCTATGATATTATAAATATATTTTATTTAGAAGTGTTTAAATTAATATTTGATATATTAAATATAGAAAGAGAAAAGCCTATTTAACTTAAAATATTTAAATTTATATTTAATATATTAGATATATTAAATGTAAAGGGAGAAAAATATAACTATTTTGAAGGGTTTATATTAATATTTAATATATTAGATATATTAAACGTAAAAAGAAAAATATATTTTTTATATTTAATACATTAAATATTAAATAAATAACGTATATTAGATAATGAGAAAGGCTATACGAGGAGATTGAATCATTAGTAAGCCGTTTAAAGACCCACCAAAACTTTTCCATATTTTTTCGATGAGTCTATTTAACCATTAGTTTATTTTAATTCTAATTAAATCAAAGACAATCTCAATGATCTATTGCATTTGTTGTATGAATGAAGGGTTCCTTTTCAATATGGAGGAATCGCCACTCTCAATAGGTAATCTCTAAGTCTTCTTATAACTCAATACTGCCTACTAGTAAGAGTTAGGGAAGCTCGCTAATAGTCCCTAACAAATTCCATATTCCTTTGTATTTCCAAGTCCTTATATAGTGTAAGGCTGACTTTCCACTAAGCACAATGGAAGTTCTTTCGATAGTACTCTTTGACGTGTCATGGACCCTAAGTGGGTGTCCTTGTAATCTTACACACTAAGTATACCCTCACCAATCGAGATAAGTTCACGATTAGGAGTTGCATTCCAATTGTTCCTATATAGTACTAATCAGCCCATAAAGTCAAAATAGACTTTAACTCAAGAATTAAGAACGGTAAAATAGAAGTTAAGCCTCACTAATTCATTATGTATATACTCTAGGTCACATAACATCAGATTAGTTATACATTAGGGCATAATCAAGTTTTTTAACCTCCCATCATGCTTCTAGGACCCTAACGAGCAATAAATAATTATCAACATGCATAGTTATTATAAAGCATTCATAAGTATCATGCGATGGTCCTAACATTATTAACAAATCATTCCGAGTCAAATTCAACGTAATGAGTTAAATTCAACTAAGTGAAAGCTTGAAACATGCAATCAAGCTAAACTATGTAAATATTCCATATCCTAGATTTAACTATTCATTTTCATTCTCATTCTTGTTCAAGTCTTAATACATTCTAGAAGTTATTATGCCAAGTCTGAGCCAATTCCTATCAATATTTGTTGCATCCAAACTTAGAATTCTTTGAAATTGCTTGAAGGTGTTTTAAGTTGAGTATAGCCTTCAAACCAAAATGGTTTTTATGAGAATTGACTTAAAAAGAGGTGAATCGGTCAAAATAGTGTACAAGGTTCAAAATTGATGTGACTAGTTCACACATCATCGTCTTCTACCTCTAGCAATGATGATACCCGTGTTTAGTTGGTTTCTAAGGATGAAAACTTGAGTTCATCTGGAGGCTATAACCATTATCCCATGGGTTTCTTCATCAAAAGTGTAGTCGTAGGATATTTAGCCATGAATTATGGTTTACCATATATGTTCTTTATTACACGAAAATATGTTGAATGATTGAGAATATTTAGCCTTCCATTATGGTTTACATAGGTGCCATATTTGACCATTTATTAAAGGCAAATATCTTGTATTAACGGGTCCCGGCATAAGGGGCTCCCAGAGTATGCCCACTGGATAAGGAAAGTGGCCCAGCAGTGTGCGAACTAGCTGGTGAGCCCATACTCGCACGCATGGGCTATGTGTAGAGTATATGGTACACGTCAACGATTACCCGTTAGGACTACACCGTAGGGAAAATGAAATGAAGCGAAATAATAGGTCCCGTTATTTCATTGCATGTGTTTGTTGCATAACCCCAATAGGGGGTCACTTACTGAGTATTCTAGAAATACTCAATCCTCATGCTACTTTTCTGTTTCAGATAAGAACAAGGCACCCATGTGACATCGACGGCGGCATCGTACACCCCGGGACCGTGGCACATCCATAGGGTAGTTTTTTTTCCATTTCATAGTCTAGGTTGAATTCGGTTTGCATCATTAGTATAGGTTAGTATAGGTTGAATTCGGTTTGCATCATTAGTATAGGTTAGTATAGGTTGAATTTCAAAGGAAAGCAAAGATCAGATCAAGAAGTCGAGATTCAGGTTCAGTAGCAGGGTAGTATAAAACGTTCATTTCGGTTTTGTTCCTTTTCCTTTATTTCAATAATGTTATTTTTTTTTCCCTTGTAATCATTTTCTCTTTCACGAGGTAATAAAAGGCGAGTGTAAGTCGCATTTATGAACATGACCCATTTAATGTATATTCTGCATTTTCAAGGTATAGTAATAACCTTAGATTAAATAGGTAAAATTTTAGGGTCGTTACAATATGAATGACATGAAATTACGATAAATGATGTAACGACCCTAAATTTCCACATATCTAGGGTCGCCACTAACGTCCCATGCTCATCTATAATGCAGAAATGTAACTCTTACATGAACATCATTTATAACGTAAACTTCGAAAAACGTTTAAAACAACTTCTTCTCTGGAAAACACAACCATGGACTTACGTGTTTCGAAAACATCTTTAAAACGACACAACAAAAGACTCGAAATAAAATAAATAAGCGTTTAAGTTTAAAACATCCTATTCTAGCCTAAGTCTAAGAAAATAAATACCACTATCCTGTGCATGTGTCATGATCTCGAGTTGCGATGCCGTCATCAACCGTATAGGAATGTCTTGCCTTAACCTGAAAAATGTAATAGCACATGGCTTGAGTATTTAAAGAAATACTCAGTAAGTGATCCCACTATTGGGGTTAAATGCAACAATCACATGCAATGAAATGATGGGATCTAACTTTCGTTTCATTTCGC